GTCACCTGAACAAGCAAAATTACCATGAAGGACCCAGTCTCATATTGTAAATATGAAATCTTGGCAAAATGTCTGAAATGCCCCTCAGTCAAATTATAATTTGATCCACTGAAGTTGTCATCCGCTAAAGTAAACTTGTTATTTCCTATAGTCAACTTGTCATTTAGCATACCTTCAATCAAGTTATGATTTAATCTACTGAAGTTGTTATTCGTTAAATTGAACTTGTCATTTGACTGAGGGGCATTTCAGACATTTCATCAAGATTTCATATTTACAATATGAGACTGGGTCCCTCATGGTAATTTTGCTTATTCAAGTGACCTTTGTGTAATTTCAGTAATTTAGGGGTCTTTATTTGTGATTTTTTCAAAAAGAAAAGGACGTTTTTCCTGAAAAACACACAATATGCTTCCATCATTATTTACAAGTTTCAATATGAGTCTGGAAGCCAGGTAGCAGAAGAATATCCTGTTCATATGCTCTTGTCTGTTTATTTTTGAGTCACGTATCCCCTTTTTATATAAGGCGGATCAGATCAAAATTATTGTTTTTTATTTTCTTAAAAAAAGATGTTAATTCTTAAATATTTTTAAAAAAATTAATTGTAGTTCCAACTTGTTTTAATTTTTTCAAACTTATTTTAATATTCAGTCATCAAAATTTTCTGCTGTCTTCTTTTCTAATGTTTAACCTAGTAATGATATTGTTATTACTAGTATTTTTTTGTTTGTTTAACATTAATCCGCAATATACTTCTGTATATTCCGCTTTAGACATCAGTACTCTTAATGGCAGTTAATTGGGAACAAATATTAATCAGGCGACAAAATCTTAGAACAAAAAGGATATTATTCTCTGGCAAAAAAAAAAGAAGATATTATTGGTGCACATATACTCATAATTGAATTTAGATAAATTAGTTTTAGCTTTGGATCACATAGTATAAAATTTTTTTTTTGGGCAAAAGCTTTTATTTATTTTTTCAATGGTGTAATATTTATGGTTTATGGGTAATGGATCTGTGCCCGCATGTGTTTCTGAAAATCTAATTGGCAGCGTGCATTTGATCCTCTGGCAAAAGTGTAAATCTGAATTTGAAGTTACCAAAAACAAAGAAAAAGGAAAAAAAAAATCATCAAGATTCAACAACGCCACCGCCTTGCAGCGACAAGGGATTAACGCTCATGACATGAATTTTTTTTGGCAAAATAAAGGAAAATTTTAGTTTGTCAATAACCGAGTTAACCGACTTTTCCCGGGCAATTGAGAGGGCACTCATTTATTATATATTGGCTAATGAAATTTGGAAAACATAATTAGAAGGGCAGCCAAGCAAAATCATAAATTACGAGAAGTAATATCAACTTTATTCTTTTTTTTTTACCTGAATATCAATCAATCAATTTTATTCTTAAAAACTTGTAAATTAATAGAAATTTAGTTGGCCTATAATTTATAAGCAGAAATTAGAATTCAATTCACCAATAATATAGTAATATTATTTATTTTATGGTGTTCTTTATAATTCAAGATGCTTCTTTTCTGTTCTTTTTATATAAAAAGCATAACTTTTTTATACGCATTGAGAAAGTTACTTAAAATTGTTTATTTTTATAAAATATGTTAAATTTCTGAAAGTATAATTTTTCAATGAAATTTATGAAATTAATATAGTGTTATCTTTCTATATAATTAAAGAACTAAGAAAAATTAATCAATCCGTTCATTTTTGGATTTTCTTGATAAAAAGAATTCAATTTTATTAATCACAAAAAAGTATTACAATTACTAATAGGTGAGTGTAAAAAAACACTCAACTTATTCTATCAGTACAACTTAACAGACAAATACTCAAACAAAAAAAAAAGAATGAAACAGCATTATATAATAAGAGAGTTCTTAATGTTATTAGATAATATTATTGTTGAGAAATAATTAACATTTTTAGAAGTGTGTAAAAATCTGTTGCTGATAAAAATAAGAAAAATTTTAAAAAAGAAGTTGAAGGACAAAAGAAGTTGAAATGGGATGGCAGATAAGAGGCGAAAGACGCCAAAAAAGCTCACATCATTGCAGAGAGGAGAGATCCAAAGGCCACCTCTTACCTTGATACACGTGAATTCTCAACTAGTTCCTTAACCCTATTCCACGTCAGCCCTGAGAATCTAGTGTACCCAATAACGTCCGGCCACCTCAGCAGATAAGGAACCTTTTCCAGAAACCCCATGCGAAGCTTTGCAGGCCCTATTATTGCCGTAAGAGGGCTGACTTCCAATCGTCCTGCGCCCTCATCCACCCCTATACATAGCCACTTCTTTTGTTTATGTTCGTGGGATCTTCGGACTGTAAATTACTCAACTGGCCGTATCTCCATCTCCATAGTTTAAATAATAACAACAACAATAATACTTTTCCGATCCTTAATATAGAACCCAATTATTAAGTTAGTTTTAATCTCAATATAAGACTCATTTATCATATTTATCAATTTTATCTAAATTGCCCTTATGTATACTCCCCTAACCATAATCAAGTAGAAGAGGAAGATGTGGTATTAACAAAGATGATTATGATATTTTAGGAAAAACATGTCACATTTATTATAATTAACTAATTTACCTAACTTCCTTAATATAATCAAATTAGTTAAATGAGGGGTCTTATATTAAGGAGCGGAGGAGTAAATCAATATATATATGGCCTATAAATTATTGTACTGCATGCATCCACTTTTTTATAAGAGATATTTTTTCATGGTGATATTTTTAAATAGAAGAAATAAATCCTTTTTTATCTAAAACAATTACATACAAGCCCGAAATTAAAAAGAAAAATGGTTCAATTCAGCAATCGGCATGCTTACAAACACTGTTGATCTACAAAGAGTTTCGCTGGGAAAAAGATTCCGTCATTTGAGCCTTGTCTTGAAACCTTCTAATCGTTTTTTTTTTTTTTTTTGGTTGGGCAAATTCTAGTCGTTGTGGTAGGAATTCAAACAAAAACCTTGGAAACCAACAGTTACAACAAAAGACATCTTTAATAATTAATACCACTATGCTCTACGTAGGGGCTGTGAGTTTAATCCCAATTTATATATTTATATATGTAAAGTAGGCGTGCAGCCATTGGTATAATACTTCTAAATTTTTTACACAAATATATAATATTCTTTTGATTCTATTTATACTTTATTTTCATAATATTTTATTTAAAAAAATCTTAATCTTCATTAACTCTATTTTAAATTTATCTTTATTTAATATATACATTTTTAAGAAAATAAAAATATATACAATAATAAATGAATGGCACAAGTATACATTTTAATTTCAAAAATTAATAATATAACTTATAAATAAGAAAAAAAATTCTCTCTAACTTGCAGATATGATCAGAGAAGTACATCAATATGATCAAAAATTGACATCTTTAGCTAAAAACATTATAAAGTACTATTATTCATTAATTATAAATAGTTTGACATTTTTTAGTTATCAATAATTAATGATAAACTTAATAGTTTGCTGCACAAATTTTAACTATATCAATTCAATCGATATTAATTTTTTAATAAAAATATTATACAGAGACAAAAATGATTAATTTAACTTTTTTTTTAACATTTTATCAAAATAAAAATATATTTGAGCTATCATCTACCTATAACCATTGCAACAAAACCCCCTATTTGGAGCGTTGCAAAAGCCCTAAGCCAAGAGACACGTTTTATGGAGCAAAATGCAAAAGCCTGAGCAATTTGATAGATCTCCATGTCCGACTAAAAGTTGCCGCCTCAACACATCAATTCAATCATTTTCATTTCCAATATTCTCTGAAATTCAGTATTTGTTTTCTTTCCTTTTATTCTTTTTTTTTTTTGATTCGTTATAACCCTTGTAAAAGCAAGATTAAGGGTATCTAAATTTAAAATAAATTAACACGACCACCTAAGAAGAAGCAAAAGGAAAATATTATGGTGTGTTTAGATATATCTAAAAATATTTTTTTTTGTAAATTGAGATAAATTTTTCTGTATATTTATTTTATATATTGTAAAATTATTTTTAAAATTTTAGTTTTTATTTCAGCGCTCTTAAATAGAGGATATTTTAGTAAAATGGCAGCGTAAAATAATTGAACGGGTAAAAGAGGGGAGAAAGAGAAAGCAAGCTAGAAGAGCTAAATGAGAGTGGTCCCATATTCGGAATAGCAGAAACCCAGCATTGTCTCTTCCTTCGTTCTCATCTCCATCCTTCCATCGCTCCCACCTCCACCTCCTCCACCACTGCCCAGTGACTTCACCCCCCCTCTCTCTTCTCTCTCCCTCATCCAAACACACAGCTTGTGATTGTGTCTGTGCCTATCTCTCTCTCACTCTCTCTCCCTATATTGCCTATATGTACACGCACCCCAACGGTTCTCTCTTCTATGTCTGTTTTTCCCCGTGACCTACTCTCTCTCTCTCTCTCTCTCTCTCTGAACTTAACACTGCTCAGTACTGTCTTTGGCTCCCTCGTTACAATACTTTCCTTCACCAAAACCAATTTGATATCTTCAATACTGGGTTGGTTGTTGTTTCCGGGGGCTCTGGGATTTTGGAACACTCTGTTTTAGAGTTTTTACTTGGCAGTGTCCTCAAATTTTGGTTCCTGTTTCAATAAGGGAAGTGAGGGAATTTTTTTTACTACTTGGTTTATTTATTTTGTGTGGTTCTGGGGTGTTCCACTTCAATTATAGGCTTTTTCCCCTCGTTTCTCATTCAGTTCTATTTCTTTTTTCAAATAAACAAGGCCAACACCTTTTATTCCCTGTACTTTTTGGGTTTAGGGTTTTGCAACTTTTTCCCTCTGCCAGTGGCTTCTCGCTTTACTCCCCACTTCTCATCAGTCTGGGGAAATAAAATGAAGCATGTTTCATTGCTTTGAGCTTTTCCTGTACTTCTGGGTTTAATCCTCTGAAACTCTTGAGCATCTTTTTACGCTTTGTTCACTTGTGTTCCTGAATTCTGCATGCTGACTCAAATCTTTTTCTCACTGATGCATTTGGTGCTTTGAATGACCTTCAATATCTAACCTGTTTCGAGCTTCTTCCATTCACAAATGTCTGCGTGTTTAAGCGGAGCTAGTGGAAGAACTTATGGGTTCGATTTCGATTTTGTCAAATCTCCGTCTACATCGACCCGAACTACATCTTCTTCTCCTTCTTCAACTATCTCGGAATCGAGCGATTCTCCGCTTGCTATCTCCACTCGAAAATCTCGAACCCCTCGAAAGCGACCCAACCAAACTTACAATGAAGCTGCCGCAATGCTTTCGACAGCATACCCAAATCTCTTCCCCTCCGAAAGCCTAAAAAAACCAGGCAAGTTCACCAAAACAATCGATAACTTTGCGGATGAATCTTCAGAATTGTTCTTCCCTTTCCAAATATTTGATACCTCCTCTTTCCTACTTCAGCACCAACCAATCCAACAGAAGCCTGTTAAATTTCCAGTAGAGCCCAAAGCGGTTAATCTGACAGAAAAATCGTGCCAAAGTCCTGGGGAGATTAGCTCCGGAGTAAATACTCAAGAATTCGACGATGATTGCCGAGAAGATTTCGATGCTGAATCGATTCTCGATGAGGAAATCGGGGAGGGAATCGATAGCATCATGGGCAGCAGGGCCGAAGATTCCCATGGCGCGTCTTGTCACGACGAACACGTGAATCACCGGACTGCGGATTCGACGGGATTTAATTTTGGCGGGAAATTCGATTTCCGGCTAAGAGCTCTCCGCGGGGTCGATGAAGGGAATTATTGGTGGAGCTTTCCCGCTGTTGTCAACATGCTCGAAATCTCACCAGAAATCAAAAAGCCTACTCCGGCAGCATCAACTTCGCCGGAGAAGAAGAAAAAGAAGAAGACGAGGAAGGTGGAAAAGCTGACGACCATCGAGTCAAAGATTCCGGAGTTGCCGAAGGAGAGTTCGATTCCGAAGGAGAAATCAAATCCTGGCTTGCTGTTGAAATTGAATTACAACGAGGTTCTTAATGCTTGGTCTGACCGGAGTTCACCGTTCACCGGCGAAAGTCCCGCCTCTGATGTGCACGGAAATGATGTCGCGGTACGTTTCTCAGCCGAAATTGATTTTTCTTAATCAAACACCATTAACCTTTTTCGGTTAATAAATGATATTATAATAATAAAGTATATGCACTTTATGCAACGTTGTGGGGATTGGATTTTCAGGTGTTTTTTTAGCTCTCACATGGTGTTTAACTTATTATTAAATGTGTGTTAATGTAGTTATAAAATTTTGAGTGCATCATATTAAACTAAGGGGTCTAATTTTTTTTAATCCCCTTTTTTTGGACCCTTTTGAGACCTCTTTGAATTACTCCATATTAGTAATATATTCAGCAACATTCTTAACAGGACATAAACACGATAAATATGAGTGGATTTCCAATAAAATAATCTCAAATTTAATTTCTTGAAACATGCTTATTCGTGTCCGTTTTATTTCATTGTTATTACTTATTAGTAGAACCTCAAACTTCCGTTGGCGAAAAGGGGGGGGGGGGAGAAAGTAGAACCTCCAACTTCCAAATCTTCCCACGCAAAAGAATATATTTTTTTTCTTGATTAATTTTGGCTCCTGTCCTTAATTTTTAATCTGACTCCCACAGATTTTACCTCACTCCTATTGAGTGTCCACCACAACAGCTTCACATTAAAACTTTTGTATTTTCTTTGACCATGAATTAATAATGCATATGTATTTTTTAAATTTTTTTATATGAATAATACTGCTTTCTATACTTAATATAAGAATTATTTTGACTTTTAGTTTGTTCTTAAATATAAGACACAAATTCAATCTGTCTTTAATATTTATTTATTTTACAATAAAGTAATTCCTATAATAATTACATATGTTAAGGAATTAATTGGTAATTCAAACACATATGATTAATAAGGGTATTTTTAAAAAGACAACATCTATTTATTACAAATAATTAATTTTTTAAATTATTTAAAATTAGTCAATTAGATCTTTATATTAAAGATCATAATAATTGTATTGAAATTGTCCATAGCTTATATATATATATATATATATATATATATTGTGGGGACAGGCACGGCTGGCACAAATAGATTTGTTGTGGGAGAGTGGCGAAGGAGGCGTGATGAGAGAAGCCAGCGTGTTGCGCTACAAAGAAAAGCGACGGACCCGGCTCTTCTCTAAGAAGATTAGATATCAAGTGAGGAAAGTCAACGCTGATCAACGGCCCAGAACGCAGGTGTGACTATGATTTCATTTCCCCCTGCCTTCTTTTTTTAACAATTAACATCATGTGGTCCATACACGAAAGTTAGTGGGGAAAATGTGATTTACTAAATTTAAGCAAATCTGCTCCTGTGTTTCTTTTTTTTTTTTTTTTGGGATATGATGATTAGATAATGAGCGCCTCAAAATGATGGGGAGTGGGCCCCTTCCAGATTGTTGGTCCAATTTCATAGGATCCATCATCTCATTCACTTTGTTCTTTTTTTTTTTTTGAGCAAAATTCACTTTGTTCTTTTAAAAGACCATTTTTTGCCTTTTCTTTTTTGCTGCCATCATTCTTCGTTCCTATCGGATTACTGTTTATTGTGAAGCAACTTTCTTTACTGTTCATGGAATCTCAATTTCATGAATATACAATGGAGGACCTAATGCGTGTTCAGTTTCACATCACAAATCCTCAAAACCACACTTTTAACCGATAAAACAAAGCAATGGCTTTATTTATTCCAATTCCATTTATAAAGTATTTCCAACATATTTTATCCGAAATCAAGCAAAACATTATATCTTTGTAATTTTATCATAAAATTTAATAATTCCTCGATTTTATTCTTATTTAATATATATTTTTTTAAAAAATAATAACCCACAAAACGATAAATTAAAGAGTATATATGCATGCATGGCTTCGGTTTGGTTAAAGGGTAACACGTGTGGGGCTTTTTTTGGATTGTGGCAGGGACGATTTGCGAGGAGGCCCAATTGTTGCTCTAACGCACAAAGCTCAAAGTGCAAAGGCAGTAAAGCAGGCCTTGCGTCCGATCACTGTCGACCATAAAAGAAAAAAGGCCCACATTTTTTTATCTGTATTAATTTTCCTTTTCTTTTTTGTTGTTTCTCGCTTTATTTCACAAGAGAAAAGCCCACGAATAGAGTAGAGCTATATCAAACTTTTTGGCGGTTGGGTGATTTGGGGTCTCACGATGAATAAATATTGTGATATCTTTCAATAAAAGAAATGTCTTTAATGAAGTAGCCATTCTCATGTGATCTGAGGCGTCTAAATCCGGTCATCATCCTGCGTATCTCTGTGGTCTGTACAGCGCAACCCATGGGCGCACTGCATCAGCCCATACAATCCAACGTCTCGCATTATGCCATGTCATTCTCATGTTAAGAAGTGATCTCTTCCGTTGGTTTATAGAGAATCCTAACCGTCCATTCCGGAGTGCGTTAAGCGTGCAATCGCCTCCAAATTGCCTTCCTGCCCAATTCACTCTCCTCTGGACAAGTATTATTCTCTTTATTTCTTTTAAAATTAGAATGATGAATATGAGATTGAGATTATAAGCAGAAGTGAATCTATAACCTCTATCTTGTAAACAAGCTTTTAAAGTTCCCTACGAAAAGGAAAATGGAGTATAGATGTAGGTGATACCGGTTATGTTTGGCTATTCTCAAAACCATTTTTTGAAAAATATTTTTATGTAGGTTGAGATAAAATTTTTCTCACATACTCATTTTGTATAACATAAAATTATTTTTAAAATTATTGTTTGATTTTTACCAAAACACCCTCAATTTGAGTTGCAAAATCTGCCTTTCACATAAAAAAAAGGGAAAATGGCAAATAAAGACCCTTGAATATATAAAATAGCAAAATGAGACCCTGAATTAACAAAATTGCTACCAAAGACCGGGTCCTAAATATGAATTATGAAATGTTGGGCAAAAGTCAAAAATGCCCATCTGCTTGTTTTCTTTTCCAATCTCTTTTCTTCTTCTTTTCCTCTCCCTCTCTTCGTCTATCTCTTTCCTACTCCCTTCTCCTTCTACCCTAACCCCATTTCCTCATCCCCACCCCCATATCTCCCGATTCTCTCTTCTCTCTTCTCTCTCTATCATCTTCTTTGTTCTTGTGTCCGTCTTCTTTATTTCTTCTCCCAAAGCAGGTACCAAGATGAAGGACTAAGATGAAGGGACTAAGATGAAGGATACCAAGACAAACAAGAATCAAGCTCAGCAAAACTTCTACTGGACATTGTCGAAGCCTAGCTCAGGTAAGGAATTGGGTTCCCTTTGGTCATTGAGTTCTGGGTTGAAATTGAAGATAGTTGCGGTGGCGACGGCGGGCACTGCTAGTAGGAAGGAATCGTTCTCATCTTCTGTATCGGATGCTCTCCATATATTGTAGCTTGAGATGAAAGTGTATCATCTTTTGATTCACTCTTTGTTGAATCCATACCCAAAGAGGGAGATTCGAATATTGTCTTCTTTGTTCTGTTCTTCCCCTTGATTCATTGATTGGTTTGTAAGTAGAGAACGAAGCTAAACACAGAGGGTTCCCCTTTAATGTTCTTTGATTTGTTCTTTGAGTTTATGTTCTCTTTATTCATAAATGAATGGCAATGTGTGAGTTCAATGATAAGCTTTATTTTGTTGGGAAGTTTTTGGAGTGTGGACAAACTGAACTTTTATATTCCTTCTATCTTTTGTTTTTAAAAAAATATATAAACAATTGAAGTCAAGGGCAATGCAAAAAGGGTAACGAAGTGGACTAGAAAGCATGAGCTGTGCATTTTTCATCTTGTATGAAAACTTTATCGGAACTTATCATTGGTCTTACTTAACTAGTAATTGGTCTAACTGAACTTGTCATGAATCTTATATCAGAAGTGCCTGCTGTCAAAGAAATCTGCATATTCTTATTTCAACAGAGAAATTTAAAATCGTATGAAAACCTTATCAGAACTTGTCATTGGCTTTACTTAACTTGTCATTGGCCTAACTGAACTTGTCGTGAATCCTATATCAGAAGTGCTTGCTGTCAAAGAAATTTGCAAAGTCTCATTTCAACAGAAAAATTTTAAATTGTATGAAAATCTTATCGAAACTTGTCATTGGCTTTACTTAACTTGTTATTGGTCTGGCTGAACTTGTCATGAATCTTATATCAGAAGTGCTTGCTGTCAAAGAAAACTGCATATTCTTATTTCAGCAGAGAAATTTAAAATTGTATGAAAACCTTATCGGAACTTGTCATTGGCTTTACTTAACGTGTCATTAGCCTAACTGAACTTGTCATGAATCTTATATCAGAAGTACTTGCTGTCAAAGAAATCAGCAAATTCTCATTTCAACAAAGAAATTTAAAATCGTATGAAAACCTTATCAAAACTTGTCATTGGCTTTACTTAACGTGTCATTGGCCTAATTGAACTTGTCATGAATCCTATATCAGAAGTACTTGCTGTCAAAGAAATCAGCAAATTCTCATTTCAACAAAGAAATTTAAAATCGTATGAAAACCTTATCAGAACTTGTCATTGGTTTTACGTAACTTGTCATTGGCCAAATTGAATTTGTCATAAATCCTATATCAGAAGTGCTTACTGTCAAATAAATCTGCAAATTCTCATTTCAACAGAGAAATTTAAAATTATACAAAAACCTTATTGGAACTTGTCATTGGCCTTACTTAACTTGTTATTGGCCTAACTAAATTTGTCATGAATCCTATATTAGAAGTGCTTGCTGTCAAAGAAATCTACAAATTTTTTTTCAATAGAAAAATTTAAAATTGTATGAAAACCTCATTTAACTTGTCATTGACCTTACTTGACATAATTTAAAATTATGTAGTGGTTATGATACGATTGGATTGATGTTATAATAGTACTTATATTTTGAATGACAATTTTCATAATTGTCAGGTCAATGACAAGTTTATTAAGGCGAATGACAAGTTTAGTAACGTAAACGACAAGTTTTGATAAGCATTTGATAGGAATTTAAGTTTGTCTGTTAAAATGACAATTTCCACAATTATTGGACGAATAACAACTTCAGTAAGGCCAATGACAACTTTAGTAAGTCGAATGACAACTTTTGATAATCTACTCATACAAATTTGAGCTTAAATTGTTAAAATGACAGAATTTTCATATTTCTTTATGAAATGACAAGTTCAGTTAGTCAAATGATAACTTCATTAGGGCAAATGATAACTTCTGATAAACTACTCATACAAATTTGAGATTCTCTATTAAAATAACTGAATTTGCACATTTATTTACGAAATGACAAGTTAAGTAAAGCCAATGACAAGTTCCGATAAAGTTTTCATACAAGATGAAAAATGCACAGCTCATGCTTTCTAGTCCACTTCGTTACCCTTTTTGCATTGCCCTTGACTTCAATTGTTTATATATTTTTTTAAAAACAAAAGATAGAAGGAATATAAAAGTTCAGTTTGTCCACACTCCAAAAACTTCCCAACAAAATAAAGCTTATCATTGAACTCACATATTGCCATTCATTTATGAATAAAGAGAACATAAACTCAAAGAACAAATCAAAGAACATTAAAGGGGAACCCTCTGTGTTTAGCTTCGTTCTCTACTTACAAACCAATCAATGAATCAAGGGGAAGAACAGAACAAAGAAGACAATATTCGAATCTCCCTCTTTGGGTATGGATTCAACAAAGAGTGAATCAAAAGATGATACACTTTCATCTCAAGCTACAATATATGGAGAGCATCCGATACAGAAGATGAGAACGATTCCTTCCTACTAGCAGTGCCCGCCGTCGCCACCGCAACTATCTTCAATTTCAACCCAGAACTCAATGACCAAAGGGAACCCAATTCCTTACCTGAGCTAGGCTTCGACAATGTCCAGTAGAAGTTTTGCTGAGCTTGATTCTTGTTTGTCTTGGTATCCTTCATCTTAGTCCCTTCATCTTAGTCCTTCATCTTGGTACCTGCTTTGGGAGAAGAAATAAAGAAGACGGACACAAGAACAAAGAAGATGATAGAGAGAGAAGAGAGAAGAGAGAATCGGGAGATATGGGGGTGGGGATGAGGAAATGGGGTTAGGGTAGAAGGAGAAGGGAGTAGGAAAGAGATAGACGAAGAGAGGGAGAGGAAAAGAAGAAGAAAAGAGATTGGAAAAGAAAACAAGCAGATGGGCATTTTTGACTTTTGCCCAACATTTCATAATTCATATTTAGGACCCGGTCTTTGGTAGCAATTTTGTTAATTCAGGGTCTCATTTTGCCATTTTATATATTCAAGGGTCTTTATTTGCCATTTTCCCTAAAAAAATATAATTAATTAATCTAATTAATTTGGGGGGTGTTTAGAAACCCAAAAAGTACTTTTAGAAAGCGTTTTCACGTAAATCAAGATAAAACTCTTTTCATATACTACATCTCATCTTTAAATAAGAGTTAATTTGATTTTTAATTTGATTCTAAATATAAGAATTTAATCTACTGTGTTTATCATTTTTTTTAAGGTAGTCATTGTACTAGTTGCACATATTAAAGATTTCATTAAATAGTAGTTTTAAATAATACACATGATTAATAAGGTTATTCTATGAAAGACAACATATATTTATAAGAATAACTAACTTGACAAACTTTCTTGATTTACTCAAAATTAGTCAATTAGTTCTTATATTAAGGATCGGAGGTAATACTTACTTCATATATTGTAAAATCTTATGGTTTAATTTATATCCAAACACCTCTAATTAATCAATAGGAGATGTGCGATAAATGACCAGTTTGGTTGATAGTCATGGTTCCTGTACAAGTAAAGTCAATATAAAAATGAGCTATAAATCAGACTAGTATTTGGTTTTCATAGAAATAAAAGGACGAGTTTGTCATTATCCATGCGCCTTTTAATCCCAGTGTCAAAGTAATAAAACATACCAAGTTTATTAACAGTTGCACTTTTTATTAGTTACCACTAGTACGGTCTCTAAAGTTTGATGCCTATTTTTATTTTCTTCAAATCTTTTTCACATATTTAATCTAAACACGCGCAATTTCCTTTTT